GAGGAGGAGATGGAGGAGATGGAGGAGGAGGAGGAGGAGATGGAAGAAGAAGAAAAAAATTCTTCCCATTCTTTTTTTTAGTGTAGCTTGACCATGTTATTTTTTAAAATTGGCATTAACTGTAAATGAAAGTAGAACATTTATAAAAAGAAAAATTATTACAGAATACAAAGTCCTTTAAAATGAGCTTTCCTAACTTTGTGTCCAAAATCAAATCCCAAATCCAAACATCCTCTAAATCTGGTGCTTTAGCAAGTAGGAATCTTGAACATATATGAGTTTGTATTAGAAAACCCTCAACACTTCAAGCTTGCAAAAGTCATGATCCCTTCTGAACACAGAGGAAGTTGAACTTATTAAAGGTTTAACTGGGAAGTTAGTGCTTACCAAAAGTTAATGAGGGTCTATTTCATGTTCTGGAAAGATAAAATATCAAAGTCATAGAGAAATGTCTTATTTATGCATGCAGTATTCTAGAAATGAATGACATATTCCAAACATTAAACAAGAACATCCTTTAAGCATAGAAAACAGGATAAAATAAATCTAAAATTAATTGTCATGCATTGTTTTGAATGTGAATGGATTAATGTAGTCCATTAGTTGTAACCATAAACCATGAACTCTTTTCAAGAGTGTACATTATTCCCCTTTCATTTCTAATTGCCCAGTATGTCTGATCCTAAGGTAGTTCTGGAAATTCGTGTATGGAGAAAGATTTTTGGCTAGAGGAAGTGCTATTTAAAACAGAAAATTAAGCTGGCACCAGTTACAAACAGGCTATTGTGCCTTAACATTAAACTAAAAAATTCTGGTTCACTGGTGCAAGACTTATTTTACACAGAATATGGACTGAAAAAGAAGTGGCATTTAAGGAATAAACTTTCTTTAAATATCATACAACTATCTGCTATTACTTCACAAACTTGAATACTGAGGACTTTAATAGCATTTTTTAAAAAATCTGATCTTTCTTTTGGCAGGCTTTCCTCAGCATTATCAGGAAATAGGGGATGGTTGGAATATGAGTGTTTAGAGAGGAAGAGGTAAAAAGATGCAATGATAAAGAAAGAGTAAGGATCAGGAAATTGTGTAAGGAATTATTTACTCAAAGCCCTCAGAGAGTAGCCCATAGAAGAACCAGCAGGTGTCTCTGGAGTTCTCAAGCTTTGATCCTTGTGGAATAAGGAAGGCAGTGAAGGAATACATAAAAGATCTACTAGCCAGCTATTTGGCTTTTTCCCTAACAAGTCCATGGACTTATCAGTTAAGGTCATATAAAAAATGAACAACATACTTGATTCCTGAGATTTGTCAACAATCCCTGAATTATATATAGCCCTAGGACAGAATAGTCTTGAAAAACTCCCAAGTTTCCAGTTACAGCCATTTAAACAGTTCAAGCTTTTGTAAGAAAAGTGTAAGAAGTGTGAAAAAATACGTAGGGCATGCTAGTTGTTTCTTTCTGGTGTCTTTATCAGATATAAATATTTCTTGATACCAGTCTTGTATGGAAATTTGACAATTAATAAAAATTAGTTCTGAAAAAATTTAAAGCTTAACTTCAAAAAGCCCTAGAGTTTCTAATAAATTAATATCACTATCCTGAACTTTACCTTAAATATGAGTTTATAAGTGCACAGCCAGAGCTTAATTTTTTACTAGTCACATGACAGTTTCTATAATATTTATTCCTATGCATCTCAGCCCCAAGGAAGGAAGGGAAAGGTGATTTAGAGCTCTCAAGGGATATTTGGCAATGTCTGGAAACATTTTTGTTGTCACAACTGGAGTGTGTTATTGGCAGATAATGGGACAGAAGTCAGAGATGTTGCCAAATATTTTACTGTGCACCAGACAAAGACTTATCTGGCCCAAAATGTATCAAAGTTGAAAAATCCTGGTCTAAACTAAATGTTTTAAATAGCAATAAACTATATGGCTGGATAAAGAATCCATTATTTCCATTAATAACCAATTAGTACTAAGTTTGGAAAATAGACCCTGATTCAAACTTCATATAAGCTATATAGGAGATGTGATAACATATTTGTGATTTGGGAGAAAATATTTTTATTCATGAGATCATACACCTACAATTTTTAACAAACCAGGATAAAAGTGTTTCTTAAACACTTTGATAAGAAAAATCCGGGCTGGGAAGGTGGCTCAGTGGTAGAGCGCTTGCCTTGCATGCTCAAGGTCCTGGGTTCGATTCCTCAGCACCACATAAGCAAAAAGAAGAAAGCCGGAAGTGGCACTGTGGCTCAAGTAGTAGAGCGCTAGCCTTGAGCTGAAGAGCTGAGTTCAGGCCCCACACCGGACCCCTCCCCCAAAAAAAGAAAAATCCAAGGAGAAAAATGATTTTAAAATATCCTAGTCACAAATACTAATCTTCCACCAAGTCATTTACTGCCCAAATTTATTAACATACAACCTAAAAATCAATTCTCTGTCAGAAGCCGCCGCATGGAAGATGGATGCACCAGAAAATAGATTTATTATGGATATTTTTACTTCCCTTAGTTATAGGGCAGTTTTTTAAGGCTCATTGCAGAGTACTCTGAGGTGTCTGAGATACTAGAGTATGTTCAGCCATTTAGCTCAAAAGCATCTTTATTTTCCCTTTTTGGAAAGGTTGTAGTAAGGATGGGATGCCTTTGCTGTGGGCATCACGCTGGTTTAAGCCTCTTGAGACAGAAGCTGCTGCCGCCTAAGCAATGAATAACAGCATAAGCAAAGTCATTTTCTTATCTCTGTTACAAAAACATAAAGAAAAATAATAACTTATTTATTAACATGGTGACATGGACAAAAGTTCATCAAAATAGCCTCATACAGACCCACTCCATGGAGAAAGGAAGTAGTCAATAAGAATTTGAAATTACATAGAAAAATGAATAGTCTCATAGTGTAATTCTATATGTATACTATAAACACGAACTCTAGATGAGTTCCATTTAGCTTGACATCTTGCGTACTATTTATTTCCTATAAATACCTATCATGTCACAAGTGAATCCATAATGTAAGCTATCCTATTAAAGTCACATTAGTTTCATTTCCTGTTTGGCTCTCTATCTTCACTCTGAAAAATGTCCTAATGATCCCACTGGAGGTGCAAAAAAGACAGAAAAGAAAGTCTTATCCAGAAAGGACATTATGTTTTCAGCCAGCAGAAGACAAATAAACGTCTAGAATATTATTAGATATTAGAAATTAGAAATATTATGTTTTGGTTCCAACACAATTTCACCTTCAGTTCTTGTTCTATATGTTATTTATTTTATTTTGTTGTTTAGTTTGTGATGATATGCCATTTTCAGATTTCATGCAACTGAATATTTAGGATTATAGGTGTGAGCTACTGGTGCCCAGCTTTCAAATGTTTGTCAATCCAAACCTAGCCTTATTTTTTCCAAAGTCGTACTGCCTCAAATCCAGTTCCATCACTGGGGCACTTGCAAAAGGCTCCATCACTGCATTTCAATACCTGCTGCTTGTCTCTACTTCTTGGGCTCTGGGCAAGCTACAGGCTTTTGGCAAAGTTTCACTAAATCGCTTTTATCTAAATTCACCAGACCATAAACCTTTGATGAACGTGCAGACTCCTCCATTCTGAAGCTTGTCACCCAATGGTCAGTGGTCTGACGCGAAGGGTAGACCCCCTCCTGGAGTATGAAGGTGCAGATTACCGCACCCGCGCCCACCTCACGCTGGCTCCGCACCCACCCTGTGCACCCTAGGCTAGTTGAAGAACGTCTGCGTTTGTGGGGTTGTGACTCCTTGATTCATGGAAGCACAGCACTAGTACTTAGAAGCTTATTTTGAGTTAGAGACAATTTATGGACTTGGCATGAATTAACATTCAATCCTCACTAGACAATGCCAGGCAAGTGCCACAGCTGGACCAAATCACCCGGAGTAAATAGAGGCAGAGGGTGAAGACAGGACCTTCTGCTTCCATACCTAAACCAAGAACCACCGCGCTGCCCGGTCTGCGGGGTTAAGTCCACGGTTCCCTGACAACCCGCCAAGCTCCAGGGGATGCCCCTCAACATCACGTCTGGGCGCGCAGCAATGTGGGACAGGAGGCCGTTCTGGCCCCCCGGGTGGCACGTTTCGCCCCTCGGGGCAAGGCAAGGACGTGACTCATCGAGAGTCCCCCCCCCCCACGCACACTGGACCGGACACAGCCGGAGAAGGTGTCCTCCCAGCCCCCAGGCCTGGCAGGGTGGGTGGGGCGGGGCTCGGGAGCGGGAACCGGCAGCGGGAAGCGGCCGCCGCCCGCCCCGGCTGCTGCGCGCGAGGCAAGGCGAGGCCAGGCGAGGCGGGGCGGGGCTGGGCAGGACTGGAAGGGGAGGCCGCTCGGGCCCTCGCCGCAGCCAGCGCGCACCGACAGCGAGATGGGACTGGAGACCGAGAAGGCCGACGTGCAGCTCTTCATGGACGACGACGCCTACAGCCGCCACAGCGGCGTCGACTACGCCGATCCCGAGAAGTTCGTGGACTCGGGCTACGATCGGGATCCCCACCGGCTCAACTCTCATCTTCAGGTGCAGCTCAAGGCGGGCGGTAACCTGGGCGGGTTGGTGCCCGCCCCTGCCGCGGGCTGCGGACGGACATCCCCTACCCCTCCTCTCCACCCACTCCCCATCCCCGGGTCGTCCAGGACCCCGACAGTGCCCGTGTCACACCAGTACCAGGCTCCCTGCCCAGGCAGGGATTCCTAGCCATCTTCCTGTGCGCCCACCGTGACACTGTGCAAAACGGGGGACACTAACCACTAGCCACCTTCTTCGTGGTTGCTCTCCCTGATTCCTGGGGGGGGGGGAGGGAGGGGGGGAGGAGGATGCGGGGGAGGGGTGACCGCTGGGGTGACTGCTGGCTTGGGTCCCTGCGTCCTGTCTCCTGCAGCTGGGCTTTGAAGACGTGATTGCAGAGCCAGCGACTACGCACTCCTTTGACAAAGTGTGGGTCTGCAGCCATGCCCTCTTTGAAGTCAGCAAATACGTGCTCTACAAGTTCCTGACCGTGTTCCTGGCCATCCCCTTGGCCTTTGCCGCGGGAATTCTCTTCGCCACCCTCAGCTGTCTGCACATCTGGTGAGAAGGGAGTGGGGCACACTGGGGGTCCAAAGTAGACTTTTTTTTTCTTTCCACCTGCCCTTCCCTTCCTTTCTCCCAGGAAAGACCATGCATCAGCTCAGCCTTGAAAGGCTTTTTGCTTTCTTTGACTTAAGAGATGAAACAGAAGGAAGAGTGCATCTCTCTCCTGGGTGTGATTTTTCCCTCCCCTACAGAAGGCTGAGTTGAGTGGAGAGCAAAGGTGGGAATCTGGAAGCTTGCTGTCTGCCACAGGCTGCTCCCTCCAAGGCCCTGTTAAGACTTGTGCCTGTGGTTCCGGGCAGGGCTCTTCGTTCATTGCCTTCGGTTTAGTCACCACCTGTGTTTGGGTAAAAACAAAAGCGATCTCTGAGCAGGATGCCATCAGCAATATGATTGGGCAGGGATGTCAGGCCTGGGGAAGCAGCGCTGGGGGGGGGGGGAGGAGTGCAGTTCCACTGCTGGCAAAAGGCAAGGAAGGATGAGAAGATGCAGTCAAGGGGAAGGGCACCCAAGGGGCATGAATGAAAACTCCACGTGCCTAAGAATAAATGAACTTTGCACCCATGATCCACAAATAAGAATTGCATCCACTGAATGGATGTTTTATTCACATCCTAAGACTTTGGAGGCTGGGCATGGTGGCATGCACCTGTAAATCCCAGTACTTGGGAATCTGAGGCAAGATTCAGAGTTTTGGGACAGCCTGGGCTGCCTAGTGAGAACATGTGCCCCTGGAAATAAGACAAAACAAAATTGGGAACAATTTTAAACACTTTTAAATGCTACAACTAATTCTACCAAGAAGACTTACTGCTATATTAACGAATATTCTCTTTAAGCCATTAGTGGCAGTGCACACCTGTAATCCCAGCTATGTGGAGAATGAAGACAGGAAGATCATGATTAGATGGAACAAAATTTAGCCAGACTGTCTCACAAATAAGCCAGATGTTCTGTTATATGATTGGGATCCCAGTACTTTGAGAAGCAGAGGGAGGAGGATTGAAGTTGGAAGCCAAGCAGAGCAAATATCACCTCCAGACCTTATCTGAAGAACAAACTGAAAGCAAAACCCTGGGAGTATACTCAAGTGGTAGAGCACTTGTCTTACCCCAAGGCCCTGAATTCAATCCCTGGAAGGGAGGTGGACAGGATATCCACTTTATTCTGACAGAAAGAATCATCCTTCATTTGACAAAAGCTGTCAAACTGGTGCCTCAGGGTAGTCCAAGGTGAAATGCATGGTCCTAGACTACTCCACATTATTCTCAATCACTTCATATGATTTGCCACACCCCCAGTACCTGCTCAGTGTTCAGTTAGAAGTTACCAAGTCATTCTTCATTCCATACCATGTGTGGCTTCATTTCATCAGTTGTTTATCTCTGTAATTACTTCTATACCCTAGAACTATTGAGTGCTTAGTTTTTTCTAGATATTGGACTTGAGATTCTTCTTCCATTTACCCATGATAATTGGGGCAGTGTTGGTTGGGTCCAGAAGTTCAAAATGAAAATATACCATTAACTCTAAAGGAAAAGAAAGGAGAGCAAGGAAGACTTCATGGGAAAGAAGTCTATCAAATGCTTGTAAGAGATAAATAAATATCCACTGGGATGGAGAAAGAATAAACAAAGAATGCAGATTTGATCATTGAAAGTTGTTAAATAACTATGTGGAAAGTATGGAAAGATTGGCAGAGAAATGAAAAATAATCTGTATCTTTATGCATGTATAAATTCATAAAGGCCAGAGGTGTGTCAAATATACTGACTACATGCACACACACACAGTGATGTTATAGGTGCCTAAATTAGCACATAAAGTTTCAGACTCCTCATTAACTACATCCAGTCTTCTTAACCTCTATGGGAGGTTTCTTATTTGTTTGTTTGTTTGTTTGTTTTTGTCAGTTGTGGGGCCTGAACTCCAGGCCTGGGTGCTGTCCCTCAGCTCTTTAGCTCAAGGTTAGTGCTCTACCACTTCAGCTACAGTGCCACTTCTGCTTTTTTCTGCTGAGGAATCAAATCCAAGGCCTCATGCATGCAAGGCAAGCACTCAACCACTGAGCCACCTTCCCAGCCCCTTTATGGGAGGTTTTTCACGTTCAAAACTAAATGGCATACAGTGTATACGAAATGCTACTTGAGAAGCAGAGAATACCATGTTTAGAGTCCACAAAGCTATGCTTTCCTGAAGCTTTTGTGGAAGAGTTGGAAACAAGTAAGTTTTCAATTACTAATGATGCCTTTCTTCACCTGGCTCTCTGGAGAAAAGGAGGGGTTTTGTGTGTAGGCTTCCATTGGTGAGTCATCAGCCCACTGCCTTTTTAGCCACAGAAAATGTATTATTTAACTTCAGCTTGTTTGTCACATAGCACACACATGGGACATTAATATTTAAGTGCTGTATATTTGTCACCAGGAAATTATGATTGCAAGTTCAGGAATAATTTTAAAACTAGGGTACTCATATATTAGTTTATACCTTTATAAAATAGATTTACCACTTATTGGATTACATCCCCCTGAAATATAACTGGATCAAAGACAAACCTTATAAAAGGACTAACCTTTTTAAATAACTTTGGTTTTCTTTTAAAACAATTTTCTATATTTTTATTTTTTAATTTTTTGGTCTGTCGTGGGGCTTGAACTCTTGGCCTGGGTGCTGTCCCTGAGCTCTTCAGCTCAAGGCTAGCGCTCTACCACTTAGCTACAGCGCCACTTCCAGTTTTCTGGTGGTTTATTGAAGATTAGAGTCTCACAGACTTTCCTGCCCGGGCTGGCTTTGACCTGAGATCCTTAAATCTTACAGGTGTGAGCCACTGGCCCCCGGCTTGTTCTATGTTTCTAAATAGTATTTATTGTTCTACCAAGAAGTTAGTGATAAGTAAAGGTAACCATACACAATAAGGATATCTTGAACTAAGTCACAGTTTCACCACCCATTTAAGTTTAGATAGCTAGAAATATAGACGGACGGATAGAGAGAGAGGGGAGGAGAGAGAGAGATCTTTCTTTGACATGGATCCTGACTAAGTTTCCCAAGCTGGCCCTCAGCTTCAGGGTTCATGTAATCCTTCTGCCTCAAGCTCCCAAGTAGCTGGGACTGAAAGTATGGAATATTATACATAGCCTGATTTTATACTCTTTAAACAAATAAATGCAACAAAAATAAAAGGCAGAATTTGGTTCCCTAGGGCAGAAGTGCTGGTCATTACAGACCAAGATATCAGTTTGACTCCATGCCACAGTCAGATGCAAATAGCTTCCATTTGGCAAATGAGGCCACTGGCTATAAGTGAACTATAACCACAGAAATGTGAATGAGACATCTGTCTTATTTTTACTGGGATGCAATGAGAAAAAATGTCCGATTGATAGGAATGTAGTAGCAATCTCATTTGTAGAAGATGCTTTTAATATAGCAAATTTCTTATAACAATGAAATTAGAATAATGCAAAGCTAACTAAAGAATCTCTGACCTAGAGCTAAATTATCCACTGGAGGAAAAGATAATTTTGTGCATTATAAATTTTGCATAAAGAGCTTCAACCAAATTTGAGTTACTCCAAATTATGTAGTTTTAGAAGATAAACCATGCAATATTGAAAACATAATTTAAGTTTGATATTCACAGATTCTCTGAGCCAAAATGAAATAATACAAACCTAAAGAAAATAAAATGTGTTCATCATAACCCATGAACTACAATCCTCAAATGTGGACAACTGTTTTCTGCTTAACTGGCAAGTCAACTTTGACAAGTGCTTAAGTCCCCTTAGGTGGAGATTTGGGGAGTTATGGGGACAGAAAACATCCTAACCTAGAGAAGAGTGGGAGGTGCTTTGTAAGTGAAGTAGACTTGGTTAGGAACCTTTTTGAACTAAACTTCAGTCTCTTAATACATCAATTTGAAGATAACTGTTTTCATTAATATTCAGACTTTAAATTAGGCCTGTTTTATTGCTCATTATTTGACATCATTCTGTGGACATTTCAAGGATGAGTAATAAGTGTTGGCCCTAATAATTATTGTCTGTGAAATTTCCTGTTTTCAGTTTAATTCATAGCAATATGTCAAAAGCCACAGGTCAATTGAGACAAAAAGTGATAAGAAATCAAAAGTTACCATTGTTCAACTGGTTAGTTACTCAACTAGTTAGCTCTGAAGCAGCCCATAATTGTGTATCTTATAAAATTGCTTCAAGTATTTAGCACTTGGTAAAACCACAAGATAAATATAGTCTGTATAGATAGGCAATATATATAATTCAGTGGGCTAAAAAATATATCAGCCAATCAGCCAATTAGATTGATTTAGCTAACTACTGCAGACCTTTATTTACATTTTAATCACAAGCCAAGAAAGTCACTCACCCCCTGGCGCCCATCCAGGTAACAATAAAGATCCTATTGAGACCACCAGCAATGCCTAAGAATTCACAAACCTCCTCCTTGATCAAAAAGAACTACAACAAGAGAGAACATTGTTCAGAGGATCACATACAAACTTCAGCAACCTGGGGAATATAAGAATGTGCAGTTTTCTTAAGAAAAAGCATTCCAAAAATGATTTGAGGAGAGACTGCCTGTTTTTTGTCTAAGAATCAGAATACCACTTGCGGAGCTCCTTATATTGTATCACACATCCCTTCTCAGGGTGAATAATTGCTATACAAATTAAAGCATAAGAAACAAAGAAAGCATAACAAAATTGTAACTTCATTTGCACTCAGATATTTATTTAAGATCAAGTTCACTTGAAGATCTTCTCTGGACAGAAATGTAAGCATCAGTTTATGATACTTGTTGGTAAACTAGAAGATAAAGATGTTTGCTTCAATACTAAAGAAGTTTAAGGAAGTCAAGGGAAGGCATGTGGAGAGAGGTAACACACATGGCAGCCAGGAAGTGGAACTTTAGGGAAATATATACAATTAGGCAGGTTAATGTCTAGTGGTAGACGTATATAAGTAAATATGCCGTTTTTTTACTTTTTGTTTTATAATTTCTGATAGCATTCCACCAGTACAAAGAATATTATTATTTATTATTTCTATGTTTATTTGTTTATTAACCAATATATCTTTTGTGTTTCTTATCATTCTGGTCATTTTCTATGTGTGTTCAACTGTTCAATCAAATTTAAACTTATTAAATCATTATTGTATCTTTTAATTCATGTGCAAGAGTCTGGAGCTCATTTGGTAATACTAACAATCCTTTTCACATTGTTCTTCCATTCCAGGATTTTAATGCCTTTTGTAAAGACATGCCTCATGGTCCTGCCTTCAGTGCAGACAATATGGAAGAGTCTGACAGATATTGTCATTGGCCCATTGTGTGCCAGCGTGGGGAGAAGCTTCTCTTCTGTCAACTTGCAAGTGAGCCATGACTGAATGCTTAGAACCCAGATCCAGAGACTTGGATATTGTACCTTTGCTGTTATAAGACTAAAGCACTACTGTTCTGTTCTTTCCCCAATTGTCTTAATTAAGAAAATTATGATGGTTATCTATATTTACAAATGTTTATGGTAAGATCTTTTCAAATAATATTTTCCAATTAATAGCCTAGGGCTTTATATTTCATTTTTATAAACAGAATTATACAGTAGGCTGACAACAGTTAATTTTAAAGGCAGGCAGACAAGTTTGCTTTACTACAAAAGTATACCTTTGGGGTTGGGGCATTGCTGAAATGGTAGAATAGCTGTCTTGCAAGCACAAAGACCAGCACCACAAAAAAGTAAGAATTTTAAACTAATGAGTTGATAATGATCAGAGCGTTCCTTCAAGAATACTGTAGGGCTGGGAAAGTGGCTCAGTGGTAGGGCTCTTGCCTTGCATACATGAGGCCCTGGGTTCAATTCCTCAGCACCTCATAAGCAAAAAGAAAAAAGCTGGAAGTGGCACTGTGGCTCAAGTGGTAGAGCACTAGCCTTGAGCTGAAGAGCTGAGGGACAGCACCCAGGCCAAAAGTTCAGGCCCCACGACCTGACCCTCCTCCCTCCTTCTCCCCTCCCCCCTCTCCGCTGAAGAAAAGAATACTGTAATAGTTTTGTGCAGAACTGCTTATAATACTATGGAATTTATTGTTTTTTTTTACTCGGAAGTAATACTTCTACAATTCCTTATACAGATATGAGTGTAGGAATAACTAGAGACAAATGATATCAAGATTCTAGATATTGAACTATCAAAGCACACAGTGATGATAGCAACAAGGTAATATAATAAGAATGAATAAATGTGAAGATAGATGAAGAAAATATGCTCTTTTAAGATATTGTACACCTCCAGGTCTATTTAACAAGATGTTTCCATTTACTGTATATTTTGTACTTAATATAAATGTTTTGCTCATCAAATTTCTTTGAAGCATTTTCATTGTATTTACAGCTGTGTCGAACTAATATATAGAATAAGTAAATGTATCTCTTATCACATAATTCCACTGTTAAGGGTGAGGTTGTACTACCTTGACTAGATAAATATTAACATAGTTTCTTGGGGGGAATGAAATTCTGAAATGTTTTATGATTCATATTTATTGGCTGTGATATAATTCATACCTGGTTGGTATTTTATCTAGGAGATGCTTTCTGTCTTGCAATTAGTAACTGAATCTATTTTCTACATTCCTAGGATTGTTTCACTTTTCTTTCAAGTAATATTGGTGCTATTTAATAACATTTTATAGTAAAGGTTATTTCTGACACTTAAATACCTATTTTGACTACAATTATTCATATATAGGCACTAAAAGGATAGTTATCAATTTTGAGGGTCCATGATTCTGAGCTACTGAACTACATGCATACAAATCCATATTAGAATATGGCATGTGAAAATTTTAAGATATTCTAATATGGATTATAACACCATGCAGCTATTCTTCTCATTTTTGAGCAGTAAATTCTTCCTTTAGTGTTATTGGTTACTGGCTTTAAAAATATCATCATTCCAAAATGATAGGCATATAAAAGATTGCCTACAATTTAAGTTGCTACTACAATTTATATATCTTAAAAGAACTCAATCAGGTATTGGTGAGTCTTGTCTGTAATCCTACCTACTTAGGATGCTGATATCTGAGTAATTAGCCTGAGCATACAAACCCCCAAGAGATTCTGAGCTCTAATTAACCAGCAAAAGCCAGAGTGGAGGTGTGGATCAAGTGGTAGAACACCATCTGTGAGTGGAAAAGAGCCAAGCAAGATCATGTCCAGAGCTCAAGACCAAAAAGTGCTCATGCTTCAAAATTGCCATCAGAATCTGAGTCAATATTTCTTTGAATATCCCCAAAACACAAATCTTTATTCAATGAAGATTACTGTAATTTTTTTCAAGATTGCCAGTCCTGATGAATACAGAAATGATTGAACTGGAACACTGTTGGGGGTTAAGTCAAGAGAATAATTAAAGTAGGCAACTGATATCCTTTTGAAAAATCAAAAAAATTTACAAAACTGCAGCATCCTTTGAAAACACATGATCATTGCCTTAAAGCATTACCATTCATTTGTCTATATCCATTTTATTGTGTTAGTTTAAAAGGCCATTGGTCTCATGACTTTATAGCTATGTTTTTATGACTTTAGAGTCATGTATTTAAAGTGTTTCTTAAACATTTAATTATGTTTATTAGCTATTTGATTAATCATATTTGATTAATAAAATGTCTATTTTAATAAATCATAAGCTTTGATATTTTCAAATTGATAATACAAGTTTTAAAATCTATACACACATACACATTTTATGTAACAAAACTTTTAACTTCTAAAATGTATGATTTCCTTATTTCTTGAGTAGTATTGATTACTTTCAAAATGAATTTTTATTGATATTTTCATGACTTAATCTAATTTTAAAGATTCAGCTTTTGTATACAATGGGTAGTTTTTTATGCAAATATGTTGTTTCTTTTATTTGAGCAAGATGTAGTAGGAGGCAAAAAGACTTTCATAGAATTCAAAATAAACATTCTAAAATTTCATAAATGTGTTCACTGCTTTTATTATATTTTGTCCTATCTTTGTTTTTGAATGGAGAGTGCTATCTTTAAGGAGTTCTCATTTAACAAATCACTTTATGAATACAATGTCACCCCTTGATCAATGTCACCCTTTCCTACTGCTTATTTTATGAATTCCCAAATTGACAAGTAATAATCTTTTCAAACAAATTGGAACTTATTAAAAACTTATTTATTTTTTATTTACATTTTATTATTTAGCAATATATTTGCAAAAAGATAAAAAACTCAGAATAACAATTTGATTTTTTATGTTTCTAGCACTTTAAGAGAATCCACATAAATTTTTCTACTATTTGATGAATAGTATGAAGTAGCTTCTTCCAAAAATCACCATGCTTCAACTTCTTTGGAGTTTCTTCTTGCTAATACTAAGTAAACTGAAATTTCTGTTTTTAGTTTTCAAAATGAAAGTAATAACACTATAAATCACATGTATTTAGATAATTGCACATTAAAACAAAACTAAAGTCTGACATTATTTTAAGAATGTGAAGAGTAGTTGCTGATATTGGCCTAGATCTTTTTGAGGAAAATTAATCTAGGAAATGACCAATCCTTAATAAATAAAAAAGCAGGTGTTTGGATTTTAAAAATGTTCTTTACAGCTTCAAAGAACATACGAAGTCTCTCTTTTACACAGCCATCCACATCCCTTCATTTCCTTATCTTTCTTGGAAAGTTGTCAGATGGTAGTGAGAAGAGCCCTCCCTGTTCATTGCCTTGTCTTTCTTGGAAAGTTGTCAGATGGTAGTGAGAAGAGCCCTCCCTGGAAGCCAGGTGTCCAGATTCCAACTTCACTTAAGCAATTACTGGAGTTTTTCTACTCTTGGAAATGGTTTAAGCTCTGTCTATATTTTTATATCTACTGAAAGCTCTGGATTAGAAGATCTATCAATACGTTCCTACATCATTGTTTTCTATGACTTCAGTGGAGTAAGGTTCTAGTGATCTGTCTGCTGACCAATCTAGCCATTTGGAACCTTTTAAAAATCAGTGAACTTCCTGTCATTGATAGGGTTGACAGACTAAGAATGTGCTAAATAATGAATGTACTTTTTACTCTTCTAGATTGTTATCATGCATACATTGTACATAATTCTTCATAACAGGAATTCCTAGATTTTCATCAGTTCTAATGTTGTTATATTTCTATAAAAATAATGTTGCTATATGCTTTAAATTAATTTCAATTAATTTACCTATAAAGATTTTCTGTAACAAATAATAATTACTGGTATACCACTGTTATGGCTTAGATTTGGGGTGAGATGTGGTAGAGGGCTCAAGAGCAAACCTAAGGCCTTACTCATACCAGTAAATGCTCTACTACTCACCTACATACAGCCCATCCTGCAATTTGCATCTTAAATCTCTCCCAAAGGTTAAAGACTTGTGGTGCTACTGGGAGGTGATAGAAGCTTTAGCAACTGGGACTTCACTGGAAAAGATCAAATCACTAGGGGTGTAGCTATGAAAGAAATACTGAGACTCCAGCCCTCCATTTTCTCTATTTGTTTCCTGGTCACCATGAGGTAAACAGTTTCCTTTACCATATGCATCCACTGTGATGTTCTGCCTCACCATGCAATAGAGTCAAGTGATCATGGACTGAAACCTCTGAAACTCTGTGCTCAAATTAACCTTTCTAACTGAAAGTTGAGTGTCTCAGGCATTTGGTTACAGCATGAAAGAAGCTGAATAACCAATGCCTGCCCTGTTCCTGTCATCAGCTCCAGCTTCTCTATTTGCCAAAGCCTCCTTACTGGCCTCATTCCCTGCCTTCATCGTCATCTTTTTCTTTTTAGGAAAATGAACAAACATCTGAATTCTGTCAGACCATTGTCACCTGCAGCAGCAATTCTCTGTGGCCTCACTGAAAAATCCTATTCTCTGCCCCTAAGTAAATACCCCTCCCTTTCTCTTGTCTGAAAATCTCCTCAGAGCTCCTTCTCCTATTTTCCAAACTACTCAACATTAAGTGTCTTTTTGTGTCTCAATATGAAATCATATGCAAGCCTCTATGATCGGTTATCACTCTATGAAACTAACCCTGTTAACTAAATTCCATTAGAATGCTAGTCATGCTTTTGAAATCCTAAAGCATGTCTCTATCTTGGCTTCCCTAAAATCCTGAAGTGATGCCCAGTATATCACGGACTCAGTCAATATAAAAATATTGTAAACTAAATGAATACATGAATAAATAACAGAAGAAAACTTGATATGATACTCTGATTTCATTTGTTTTTCTTTAGCAAAAGGAATGTGAAATATACTCATCTCCATGAAATTTTACTTCTCACCATTTTCCCACAGGAAAATTAACAAGTTTGTAATACATACCGAAGCATATCCCAGCCTTTGGGGCGTAATGTCTATCTGTAGTCTGCATTCTCTTACCTGAAACTTACTTTCAAATCAGCAAGAATATGAAACCTTAACATTTCAAGAGTTGCTTGGATCTCTGTTCACATGTGGAATATTTAATCTCCCGAGAGGAAATGAGTTACTTCAGTGCCTATGGACATAAAATTCTACCTGTGCTAGGTAGAGGAGAGGTGTGAAATGCATTGAAATAACTGGCTTTTATACCTTTATTTAAAGATGACCAGAAGTTATCATGAATACCAATTACAGTCTCAAATCATTAGGTGTTGGTTAATACTCATGAGTTCTTTTAATTTACAAAAAGAAAAATCCATTGTCATCTACTTGCCCTTGAGCATTTCCAAGGTCTAATAAGGGGTTTTATGGAAAATTCAAAGCTTCCATGCAATTTTTCTTTAAACCACAACAAGG